AGAATCAAATTTATCATGCCCCAAAGCATCAACCAATCAAATTGCTTATCTTTGCCTACCTTAAGCCGAAAATGCTCATCTTCGAACTCCATCAAGGCATTGACCTAATAAACACCTACACCAAGTTTGAACATTCTAGCTCAATTAGAAGGAGAGTTAATGTGTTCCAAAGTCTCAGCCAATCAAATTGCGTATCACTCTGCTTACCCTGAGCAGAAAATGCTCATTATCGAACTTAGTCAAGGTATTGATGAAATGAAACTATACACTCTCACTTAATTAGAACTCAAGTTATCGTGTCCCAAAGCATCAACCAATCAAATTGCTTATCCCTGCTTACCCTAAGCAGAAAATGCTCATCTTCGAACTCCATCAAGGCATTGGCCTAATAAACACCTACACCAAGTTTGAACATTCTAGCTTAATTAGAAAGAGAGTTATTGTGTCCCAAAAAGTGTGACAGACAGACAGACGGACGAACCTATTTTAATAGTCCCCTGCTTTCTTCGAAAGGCGGGGGACAGACGGACGGACAGACAGACAGGCGGACAGACGAACCCATTTTAATAGTCTCCTGCTTTTTTCGAAAGGCGGGGGACAACAAAGTGAAACAATGGCCATAACTCTAGACATAATATAAACGGAAATCATTGAAATTAAAAACATATATCAATTTTAAAACAATCGGATGATAACTTTTGGCGTTAGAGCGTTCACGAGAAACTAAGAAGACGGACCAACGGACAGACTGACGGACAGGGGCGACAGCAATATATGTCCACATTTCCATGTTGGCGTATAAAAATGAACAGTGCTTTCATTTCTGTATACCCACAGACACCGGTCTGTTTATAATGGCATGTTATACAGAGAGTGCGAGAGAGAGAGAGAGAGTGACGTCTATAAATCTAATAATGTAACACTTTAATGTTAGTCCCAAAGATAAATAAATATATTGTGCAGTATGATGTTTGTTATGAAAAAAAAGCCAACAGTGAGGCTGGTGTCCCCGGCCTTAATCCCAAAATATTAATTTATCGCAAATTTATTTTTTTCAAAAGTATCAAGCAATCAAACAGATTATCAACTATACACTAAGTTTCATCACTCTCTATCAGATAGAATCAAAGTTTCTTGTCCTAAAGCATCAACCAATGAAATTTCTTAGCTCCGCTTAAGCAGTGGACACATTAGCTGAATCGTTCGGCCGAACCAATCGGCGCCAAATTTTTTGGGGCCGAATAGGTGGACACACTAGCCGAATGCTTCGCCCGATTCAACCTGTCGATTGCATCACCTTTCACATGATTAAACATGGCGGCGTCTATGTCTTCAATCTATCACGTGACTTCTCGATATGAGTGGTGATTGGCTAATGAATTCTACAGTATATTTGACTGAATGCTTCGTCGAAGCGGAACCACAAGGCGAATATAATTCGGCCGAATAATATATCAAACCTGTTTGACACACAGTGGACACACTAGGCGAATTTCGACGCCGATTGATTCGGCCGAATCATTTGGCTAGTGTGTCCACCGCTTTAGCTTTAGCTTGAACTCAGTCAAGATATTCACTTAATGAACATCAAGTTTAAACATTCTACATGTACCTCAATTAAAAGCAGAGTTGATATGTTCCAAAGTCTTGACCAATCAAATTGCTTATCGATCCTTAGCCTAAGCAGAAAATTCTCATCATCAAACTTAGTCAAGGTAATGATATAATGAATCTATACTCAGAGTTCCATCACTCTTACTTAATTAAAATCAAAGTTATTGTGCCCCAATGTATCAACCAATCAGATTGCTTATCTCTTCTTACTGTAAGCAGACAATGTTTATCATCGAACTCCATCAAGGCATTCACCGAATGAATGCCTACACCAAGTTTGAACATTCTACCTCAATTAGAAGAAGAGTTATTGTGTTCAAAAGTCTTGACCAATCAAATTGCTTATCGCTCTGCTTACCCTAAGCAGAAAGTGCTCATTATCGAACTTAGTCATCGTATTGATGTGATAAAACAAAGCATCAACTAATCAAATTGCTTATCTCTGCCTACCCTAAGCAGAAAATGCTCATCTCCGAACTCCATCATGGTATGACCAGGTAGTATTTAACACAGCCATTCACCCAGTATCAGGTAATAGACATACACCATAAATGGGCACCCAAGATGGATTATCTAAAGTGAGTTAACAATAGTCAGCTATGACAGAGATAATAGAAAATTAGTAGTAATGAGATAATCCATCTATAAACATTACATAATCAAGGCCCAAATAGTCAACTTAGTAAATGAATGAATGATGTCACTTAAATACTACCCCTTAAATATATATAATTACAGGGGCGGATCTAGGAATTTTGAAAGGGGGGGGGGCGCCGCAAAATGAGGGCACTGACCGCGGAGACGGGGCACGCCGCTGAGAGTGTTTTTTTTGGGGGGGGGGGCCCCCAAGAAAATTATCCGTCATTTCCTTGCATATGTAGCCATTCCAAGAGCTATTTGCCTGATATTTTTTGTCTAAGTAAACGTTCGGAAATCGTTGAAAAAGAACCTTAAAATCGAGCAAAAAAGCCAGTTGAACATGTGACTCGAAAATTGTCAAGGCGAGTGAGGCATTATGATGGGAAAAAAGACGAATCTATTCCCTAGCCACTTCACTATTTAAGCCTTGTAACTTGTACTATGTACTGTCCAAACATGAAACAATGCTACATCAAGTTGCACTCATGCGCGTCGGTGTTGGGCATAAGTGTATACGCCGCCGATTCCACAAGATGCTATCATTGATGTCTGTCTATAGTCACTCTATGGGATAAGGGCACCGTCAGCTAAACAACAAGAATTCGTTTGAAAGTGGAAGCATTAATTAGACTGGTGTGTTTGAGTCGATGGTTTGAGTCATTTGGGAACGGACATATTTGGGTCTGAGAAAAGGCACTTTCAGCAGTAAAAAAGGGCACTGTCGAAAATTAGGGGGGGGGGGCCTGAATTACTATTCATTGTTTATTGTTACCAAGTAACCTCTAGTATATTAGAGGAAAGATTGTAGATGGTAGGGAAAAACACAGGCAGGCAGAGGACATACATGTACTGAAGGGCAGGTCTCTGATAAGTTATTTCTTAGATGCTGTTCCTTATTAAGTTACCTAGCCTGTGGGTCAGTATTGTATATATATATTGTAGTATTAAAAGGTGGTCAAGGCAATAAATAACTGAAGATTCTAAATTTTTTCAAAGATTACATTTTTACCAAAATTTTGTTTTGTCTTGTATGGCCGAATTTCCTAAATATGGACATTGACCAATATTTAGAGTGTCATGGAGGCGAAAAGGCAACTTGATAGGACAGGGACGCATTTTTAACAGCTTGTTGTGTCACTCATATTGACTCTAGCGAGGTAAGCAAGGTCTTATTTTCTCACTAAGATGTTCCTTTTCATTGTACAGGTGTTCACACGAATTGACACCCCACCGTTTAGCAGTAAAAAGTTGCACAGTAAAATTGACTGGGGCTGGAAAAACTTTCGACAAGGATTCAATAGGACGGTTCCTGAACGTACATGGTGCGTGTAATGAGACCTACGTTCAGAGCTGAACTACTGTTACATATGAATGATACCTCTTGGCACTTTGAAGTAACATGTACCATACTGTATTTACTTTCAACGGACTAAACCTTTTGGATATACAGTAGATAAAATAAAGAGTTAAAATGGTTTGATTTTATGTGTTATCCAACAGGGGATTTATCTACATTTACAGATTTAATATTTTCAATGAAGACAGAATGTCACCTTATGATACAGATCAACATATACATGTAGAAACCAATGAAATCAACAAGTTTATTTTTGATCCAAATCAACTATATTTTGAGTGGGTTTGACATCATAATAATTAACATTTCAATAGTAAAATACATCACATATTAAATATGCATTATACAAGAGCTAAATCTGCCTATTGCAGGTCTTTCGTTAGTTCAGCTCTGAACGTAGGTCTCATTACACTCGCCCTGTTCTATTGAATCCTTGTCAAAAATCTAATCGCTTCTCAGTCAATTTTACTGGGCAACTTTTTATTGCTAAACGGTCACGTGTCAGTCCCTGTGAACGCCTGAACAATGTAACTGAACATCTCAGTGAGAAAATAGGACCTCGCTGGAACCAGTATGAGCGACACAACACGCTGTTAAAAAATACGTCCCCGTCTTCTAACCGACTTCTAATTGACTGGGAAGCAATTAGATTTTCGATAAGGATTCAATAGGACGGTTCCTGAACATACAGGGCGAGTGTAATGAGACCTAGGTTCAGAGCTGAACTAGTCTTTCTTTAGGCCTGAAATGTTATCTAGATTATTAATTAGACACTAATTAACTTATCCGGACAATAATCAACTCTCGATGTCATCACTAGCCTGCGATTTTTACTGGATTAGGATCCGATTTGCTGCTCAACTTTCATTCATGATTAAATCATGAAATGGATAATCAAGACTATGTTTGAAAGAGGCTAAGCTAAAAATTCAATCGCTAAATTCTTGGATCAGAGTGGATCAATTTGATTAAAATTTTCAGCAAATTCCCTTTACATTATCTAGTTTTTATCTATTATAGTGAGAACTGCCAGCTCTTTATCTAATCTCCCATAATGTATCTTTAAATATACATTGTATTGCACTCAAATCATTATAATACACTGCTTCTAATTTCCAGTCATAATAAAAATATCAAGTGTGTTTTAAAAAAAAATAAATGATGCATAACCCCTGTGCAGAGATCCATATTTACCATCAGCTGTGAACCTTGTAATAACAAACACATATTTTGTAGATCGTATTACATAGTAATTATGTTAATAATGCTCTATGATTGAAATAAGGCGGATAATAATATAATGCTGAAAGCGATTGGTACATATATTAAAGAGTGTGGGTTATTCTTTGAGATTACTGAACAGAAGGAGGATGGATGGATTTAGTAATACCTGTTTGGCCCTTTCCAAGCGTTTTCTCGAGTCTGTACGGGCCGACATACAGCTCATCTCTATGCGAATGGGACATTTTACTCATCTAGAGTCCACGTATATTCCTTTTGGGGATTTCGCTAATATCCAAAACGTCCACATAAATATATCCTATTATCTCGGGTTACTCGAAACCAGCCACTACTCTAGATCAATAAGAACGCCATGTTACTACTGAAGCGAGACGTCTCCAAAATCCGAGAGCCTTTTTCGGATTCGTGTGGTGTTTTAACGCATCAGTCAACTATATCCGTCTTATGAATATTAATCCTTTATTAATTTGCGGCTCTCGTGTTTTTGCATTGTCCTTCTCTTGGAAATCAGGCATTCATGGACACACTATCCGAATAGCCTTCCGTAAGCCGATAACCGTCAACTCGCTTTTAATGAATCATCAAGGTGCGAGGAAACGCCGCCTAGCGTCCTGGAAATGCAATCGCATTGCACCAAGAATGACAACTCTCTATATTTCCAGGAATTTTAGGAACCTAATAAGTTGTTAAAAATCCGTGAAAATGATTGTATTTGAACAAAGAAAAAAGATATATTTCAGAAGAAATATAGAAGAAATATTAGCACCATAAATGTTCCATTGTTTTGAAACAAAATAGAGTTTAAATTTCATTATTTTTTTTTTAAACCACTATATTTTAGTCTGTATCCAGATTTGTGGTAAATTCACTGTTACTCTTTATATCATATTGAACTATTTTCCGGCGCATCGATTTACTAACTCCCAATAACTGCCCAATAACTCAAAAATAACACCCAATAACTCAAAAATGTTGACGGTGGAAGCACAAAATAACAATTTAGTTGAATTTCAGAAGCCTCGCTGCTTTGTGCCCAAATCGTAATTTCACGCTCACTCGCCTGAAGGGAGATAACTCGTGTATGTGGTTATGGAGGCAGACCACCATTAATTTCTCCATTGACTCCAATGTTAAATCAGTGGTGTTCTACATGCTGTAGCCCATTCCCTAAATTTCGTTGAGAACTTCGCTTTACAGCACAGCAAGTATGACATCATGGGATCATCAGAGTACTAAATTTGTATGAGGTTGACCACCAAAATTTCAATTCACTGAAATTCATAGCAGACTGGGGTCAGAATATCATGTTAGTGCAAAAACAAAACAAAGCCTCTTTACTCCTTGTAGTCTTCCGCCTTAAAAATCTCAATCTGACACCAAACCAGGCAGAAAATAGAAATTCAATGCCTCTTCATCAATTCTACACCAAAAAGTCAATACAGATAAGCATGCAAAATGGCAGGAAAGGAGGGAGAAAAATATATCTAAAAATAGCCGGCACTACAATTTGTGGGTACCGAGATATGGAAAATTAATGGTGGTCTGCCTCCTATAAGTCCAGGAGCTAATGACAAAATAATATGGTCATCAGTTACAAAAGGTTTGATGCCCCAAATTTGTAGCAGGTGTCGGTAAGAGTAAAAATCAATTGGTCAAATCGGGCACTGCTGGGGCATATAGTCGCAGCAGCACCTTAAAGTAGCCCCCAGGTTGCCAAAAATTAGGTCATAAGTTACATGGCTGAAACTTTGTAGGGACAATGGTACCCATAGTCGGAGTAAATATTTCACAAATCTAACCAAAATTTCCAGGGCTTTCCCCAAGTCAGACCACGCCTAATATCGCCTCACGGGGCTAATAATATGGTCACCAGTTACATGGCTGAAACTTATCAGAAACAAAGATCCATACTTGGTAAATAAAACCTTCAAAAATCTAACCAAAAATTTGGGGGCTTTCCCCAAGTCAGATCGCTCTAAAGTATGTCAGACCACACCCTAAAAATGGGGCTTTTTATATGGTCATAAGTTACATGGCTGAAACTTACCAGAAACAAAGATCCATACTTGGTAAATACAATTTTCAAAAATCTAACCAAAATTTTGGGGGCTTTCCCCAAGTCAGATCGCTCTAAAGTATGTCCGACCACACCCTAAAAATGGGGCATTTTATATGGTCATAAGTTACATGGCTGAAACATACTGGAAACAAAGATCAATACTTGGAAAACATATTTTTCAAAAATCTAACCAAAAATGTTGGGGCTTTCCTCAAGTCAGATCATCCTAAAACCCACCTGGCCACACCCTAAACGTGGGACTTTTTATATGGACATCAGTTACATGGCTGCAACTTTCCAGAAATATTGTTCCATGCAACAGAAATCTAACCATAAATGTGGGGCTTTCCCCAAGTCAGAAGGGCCTTAAAATTGCAGCCCCACCCATCTGAACATATTTACATTTTAAAAAGTATGAAATTAAATAACAGTGTTGTAATATGTGTTTTATAACTTGGGTCTTGGAGTTCCCATGGTGATCATTAGAACAAGGTTATCTCTGTGCCACCAACAATGAACTTTTTTTTATAAATATCATATTATAAATAGTTTGTACAATATAATATTCTATAGGTATACATGTATTGTATATTAGTCTTCAGTTGCAGTGTCTCATAGAGTACAATTTTTTTGTTTTCTTCCACACAAAAAGTATGTAACTTTTACAGTCGAAACAAATTTCATTCATTTTGCAAGTTGAAGTCTAAGAACTTAAAGTAGCTAAGTCTCTAACTCAATATCATCCAAAATCTACAACATTGAAAACACGATTTATTTGTCAAATTAAATCAACATTCATGTTGTGATCTTACTGGAAAAAGATGGGCTTTTGATATCCAATATTTAAGACAAAATAAACATTTTACCATTGGTACACGAATCGTGTACCATAATGCGCTTCAGCCCCAGTTGTATCAAGAGACTCGAGGGACGAGGCTAGACACATTGCACCAAATCAAACCGTGTATGTAGACTGGAATAACCAGACGCTAGAAATTTGCACTCGCTTGAGACTGCTGGCTTATTTCGCCGAACATTACTGATTTGAAATTGGAGTAAAAACGGAAACCATTGAATGTAAATCAGTTTATATACATTCATATTAAAGTATTATATGCGTTGCGACCCACTTTTGTCAATTTCTAGGTCCCAGATGTTAGCGATTTAGCTCCTTTAATACAACATGGAAATTGAAAAAGACGATGGTAAAATCAATCCAATTGGTAATATAACTGAAATTTCCAAATATTCTGAATTAAGACATAAAGTCAAGCAGTAATATATATAAGCATGTATATAAATAGAGTAGATCCAGTACAAATATGTCCATGTTTACGGTAGATAAATACATACAAAAATACAAATACGTCAAGTTGGAAAAATCAACCACCTTTACGCCTTTATTCTGGTATACATCATATCCTTTGAAGGCTTGTGCTCTCTTCATTCTGGCATTGGTGCCGATTTTTGTTTTTAAGAAAGGTACTCTACAAAACTGTCAACAAATTTTAGAAATCCGTAAAAAGTCACGTTTGAAGTATGCTGAAATCATGCCCCCCAAAGTTGTATATGAGTTAACAGGATTTCATATGGAATGATGTAGAAGATTTACGGAGCTATCTAAAATCCAAAAGAAACAGAATGATGAAGTACAAGAAAATGACAATCCAAATTCCAATCCAAAATTGATGGGATCATGTTTAACATTGACTTCTGCATCCAGTTCCGGTGTGTTCGAGAAGGTCTGCCGGTTTTGCAGAAAATCAAACAGAAAACATCAAGGTCACAAACAGACAGTAATAACCTGTGTCACAAAGAGAATCGAAAAAAAAATATTCGAGAATATGCAACAATTCTTCAGGATGAAAATATGCTTAAGAACATCCAAGATATAGATTTCATTGGAAAAGACATTCTATCATGCAATGCGCAGAATAGAATATCAACACAGAGCTGAAAAGATGCGAGAAGTAAGCGACCATATGATAAAAGTGAATAACATGATGCTAGGAATATACATACCAAAGCATTTTATGTAGTATTGTGACTGACATTATTCTGGAAAAACAAGAGGTCTACTTACCTGTTAAATAACTTACAGCAATACTATCAGTCATGTTTATTAGAATTTAGTGGCGGAAACTATACAGAGTTAGGTATTTTGCTCAGCATTTGCAGAACAAGCTGGTTAAATTCTTTGGTGATAATAGTTCAATTGACAGTGGGAATAAAAGATGTGGTAATATTGTCTTCAGTAAAGGTATAAATGTTGATGACGCTGTTCGCAGGGCATCTGACAACGCCAGAGAAACTGAACATATAGTTCAGAACTTCAGGGTGTCACTTTCTTACTCCGATGAGAAATATTCAGTACGAAGAAAATGAAACTGCCTGAAAATTTAACTATACAACATATCATAAATGGTGAAATTGCAGTACCAGACATGGTCTCCGCTTTCTTTACACATCTACTAGTTGGTCCATACTCTAATTGTGGATAAAACAAAGTCAAGAGAATTAATTCCATTGGTCAGCATGTCATTTATTCTTTAACCAGGGGTAGGACTAAGCCATCAAAACACATACAACTGGGTCTTGCAATGTTTGGGACATACATTAAGTTACAATAGCACTGAGGAACTCGAAACAGAATTGACATTTACGTCCAGTAAGCGCAACCAAGAAACACCCATTGGCATGATGGTGTCACCGCACCTATCAACTGGGGTTGGTTTTAAAAACTATGATAGATTTGTTGAAATTCTTTCTGGTAAAAATACTCTTCATGGTACAGTAGGCATTCGGGATTTCGTTGAGACTGACAACCAATCACCAATAATTGCCTTGTTTTCTCTCGGTAAAAGTGAATCCATTCCTTCTGGAGTAAATAGTTAATGAAGGATTTGTTTGTAGTATCTATGGGATGCCTAAAAATCGATGTCTTTCTGGTATTAAAGGCATAGAAGCAAGCCCTTTGCCGCCATGCTCACAGGTATTAACTTTGAAAATCAAGAGAGTGAATTATATTTGTAGTGTCTGGATAAATGCGTCAAAGAATAATCTCCCCAATTTCCATCCAAATGATAGAGGGTTTGAAATGATGATGGGGTGTATGAATTAAAGTGGTTTCATGGTGATGTTGCTCCCGTGTCAGTTGAGAGTATTGCATAGATGAAGATAGTGACCAAGAAAGCAGGTACTCCGACGACGAATCAAACATTTCTTGTAGTGACGATGAAAGTGTGACCGATTAACTATTGGCATCACCCAGCCACACTTACTCACTTATTTTAAATCATTAAAATGTTGTGCGGAACAAATATTTACCAATGAGGAGGAAGGATAACTAAAGTTATATGTATTAGAACTATAAATAGATTTCATAATTTCAGTAATTCATCACTGACTAACATTTTTTAAAATCCATTAGGTTGTTATTCATTATCGAAGATAGGGAAAAGCAAAAACTATCGAATTCAAACCAAAACAACTTATTAATCCAATAAATACTTTCGAAATATTTGTTTAAATTTTCCACTTTGTTATAAGATATTGAATAACATTCTGAATCATTGT